TCCAGTGCTTCCAAACTTGTTTTCTTACCTTTAATCCACACAATTTTTTATTCTAAACACATTAAAAGCATCAAAATCATCAAAATCCAACACTAATAAAAAAACCTAGGTCTAACCGAAATTCACACAAAGTTAGGGGAAGTTGGATTCATTCAATTTTCATAAAAAAAAACCTTGTATTCTCGATGCAGATGCTACATAGTTAGTTCTCATCCTTTAGAGACTACAAGTGTAGTAGGAGCATCCGTCGACAAAAAGATCACCCTAAGATGATCATCTCGTGGCTATTGAGAACGAATCAAATCAGATAGTTCTATTTATCAATCTTTTTTTACCTCGGTTCCGTAGGAGCAAGTCATAAAGATTGAGAAAAATTGGTCATTCAAAGAGATCAGGTATCCTGAAATAGAAATAAATAATTGTTCTGATCGAACCTTCTCTTCTACCAAAGATTGGCTGTTGATACACGATCAGGCAATTTATTTTTTCTATTCGTTATTATCTTTGTTACTATTATGAAATAAAATGACCGCGTTGAAAGTAAAGAATCTGCTAAGCGATCTATTCCTTGATAAGAAAAAGAAAAAACGTGAATGGTGATTGGATTGATGATAAAAGAGAATCTTGGGTCTCGAACAGTGATTTGATTGATGATAAAGAAAGAGAATTCTTGGTTCAGTTCTTTACCTTAACAACAGAAAAAAGGATTGATCAAATTCTATTGAGTTTGGCAATAGGCGAAAGCTTGATGAAGCAATGCTGCGTGGAGGTAGAAGGCCTACGGGTTGTTAACTTCTTTTCCTGGAGAAGAAGGAATAATGGTATCTAGGGAATAAGCATCGGCTATAAAAAAAACCTAGGTCTAACCAAAATTCACACAAAGTTAGGGGAAGTTGGATTCATTCAATTTTCATTAAAAAAACCACTTGATTCTTGTTCCTAGTCTTTAATCCTTAATTTAACTTCAATCAACTCCTTCCTCTACTAATTTAGATTTGGACAGTATCTCATTATAGGTTTTTATCCTCTCTAATGATGGAGGAGCATGTTGTGATCAAGATCAACCCTCAAAGGAAGAGCAAGGAGCCTAAAGGTATGGAAAGAAGTCTAACATTCCAAAAGATCCATTGCAAGGCATTGGAGGCCTAATGACAAGAACAAGGACGAAATCTACGAAGGAGGCTCTGAATTGTGTAATAAAAGAGCTAAAAAGGTTTGAGCCCATTTATTTGGAGCAAGCACATTTTAGTGAGCCTAAAAAGAGTCCAAAAATAGTGATCACATTGCTAGAAGCCTAACAAGATGATATACAAGGCACATATGCAGTTCAGATTGAAGAATTCATTTAAAATACCATGTTACAAGCATGTGTCTTGGACAAGGATCATAAGTGACCTTCAAGAAGGATCAAGAAAGCATCATTATAAATTAATTATGATTTAAATTTGTTTTTTTTTTGGTTAAGAATTGTTCCAGAAGATCATGTCTTGATTTAGTTTCCTATTTTCAATTAGCATACTTGTTCTTGAAGTTTAAGTTATTTCTTTTTATTTCTATGTAATAAATGGTGCCTCCTATAGTCAAATAATCATTAATGGAGCATTATTCCTAGCATTTATATCTTAAGATATTGATTCTAGAATGTTCTATGGTTGCCTATATATAAGCTAAGTTTTTTGTAATTGAATTCAGACTTAAATGAATGAGAATTGAGTTTATTTCTTTTTATGTGAGCTTTCTTGCATCATTGTATTCTCATGAGAATACTCGACGGTGTCAAGAGATTGATCAACCTTGTGATGTCTTCATGGCTGGAGTTGTAATAGACATGTTCTTTTAAAGTCCTACATAAATCAACCATCCATTCAGTGCTTGATTCTAGCCGATCTGTATGTCCCCTCATATCATCCAAACTCAACAAATTCCATAGCCTAGCTTAGAAAGAAGTAGGAAAGCATAGCCTACAACAAAAACCATAATCATACCTTTTCATCATGGAGAATTTCTCTAATATTTCTCAGGTCAAAAGTCAACCCATATATGGTTTATTTTGACTTTTTCTCAATAGTGTATAAATAGATTTTAAATTCTCTTAAAGCCAACCTCTTTGCCTTCTGGGAACGAAATTATTTTTAAAATATATGATAATTCCTCAAATATTTATTCTCCATTTACCTCCAATTATCTAATTATCTCAAGCCTTCTCGTATTTTAAATAATTCAATTTTGGCTAATATTTATAATTAGTCAAAACCTTAGGAATTTCAACAATTTGCTTCAGAGGCATTTTCGTCATTTTCAATCCCATATGGGCCTCAAAACTTCACTTCCTATTTTTTTGAAATTTTTGAAAATTTTCGGGCATAGTTTCTATCGCTACCCTTTCCGACAAGAAACTTTCTGAATTTACGATTAAGTCCTTGTTCATGTTTAGTCTTAAGAATCATCTCACTGAGGTTCCTAGCACAACCTTTGGTCCTTAATCATCTCCCATTCCCATACTCGAGCCCTTGAGATTTCATCAGTCTTTAGCTTACTTGTCTTGTGGTTTCAGAAAATTCTTACTTTACAGTTTGGTCCCTAAGAATACTCTCACCCTTCCAAGAAACTTCTAAAACTCCTACCAAAAAGGATCTAATAGCCTATCTATTTCAGGCTAATTCTGATATTCTTAGGCATAAAATCTAGGATGTTACAAGATGACCCCATCCCATGTCCTGTCCCATCCTCAATTCCCCATCCTAACTTTTGTCTCATCCCAGTTTATCCTGTCTCGAAAGCTTTCGAAATTGGCCCGTCCAGTCCCAATATAGTTGAGATCGAGATGGGCCAGCCGGGACAAACCGGCTTTAAACATCCCTAACTTATATACCCATAAAGAATGTTGGGATTCTTTTTTTTCCTTCCGAAAATCATGGCTTTAGCTTTAATGGCATAAAAAGAAAGCAATAGGATGGTTATAAAATTCACAATAACCTATTATGAGTGTACATTTGTGGACGTTATAGATAAAAATTCATAAACGACAAGGGATGGTCCAATAGAAGAACAACATGCGTAAGTAGAATTTATTTATTTTGATTTTGAAACAGTATTGTCTATTGTCAATTGTTTTGCTTAGGTTATCATTTCAGTGGTCAAAGGTTGTCATTAATAACCCTATGATTTGTCTTGTTATACAGTATGGAAGACTTATTCAAAGGTTTAGATGCATTGTCTATATATCCGCTCAATGTGTTGGGTGAAGACCCACCATCATTGCCATGTGGTTCACAAATGACGTCAATACTAATTTGGTAATGTCTGCTGTGGCCCTTCGGCAAACACTATATAAGTACAATATTGCTATGAAGTTTTCATACAAATGATTTCAGTAGTAAAGTTGTTATATTATACTATTTGGCTATAATTTGATTTTATGTAGAAGTTATGTTATCTATAAAGTCAATTGTCAGTAGACATTACCTAGGTTGTCAACAGCTCTCATTGGGTTGTTAATACTCATTATTGAGGTTGTCAATGCATCTTTGCAATGAAATTCTGCTATAATCCTTTTGAGTTTAGTTAAAGTTGTTAATGCCTTGAAATTGCTTCCCGTTTTTGTATTAAAGTTGTTATATTATACTATTTGGTTATAATTTGATGTTATATAGAGGTTATGTTATCCCATAAAGTTAGCTGTCATTGAACACTACCTAAGTTGTCAACAGCATCCCATTAAGTTGTTGATACTTGTTGTTGAGATTGTTAATAGATCTCTCTAATAAAATTCTACTAGAATCCTATTGGATTTAGTTAAAGTTGAACATGTCTTTCAACAGCTTTTCATTTTAGAGTTAAAGTTGTTATATTATACTATTTGGTTATAATTTGCTCTTATGTGGAGGTTATGTTATTCTATAAAGTCAATTGTTAGTAGACACTGCCTATATTGTCAACAGTTCTCCTTGAGTTGTTAATACTCGCCCTTGAGATTGTCAATGGCTTTTTGCAATGAAATTCTGCTATAATTCTATTGAGTTTAGTTAAAGTTATTAATACCTTAAAATAGCTTCCCATTTTGGCATTAAAGTTAGTATATTATACTATTTGGTTATAATTTGCTTTTATGTAAAGGTTATGCTATCCTATAAAACCAATTGTCAGTGGATACTGCTATGTTGTCAATAGCTTCCTGTTGGGTTGTTAATACTCGTCATTGAAGTTGTCAATCGCATTGGCAGAGAAAACTGTGAATAGAGAACCTTAAATTAGAAGGGATAGTGATATTACTTTACAATTACAATATAATACTCTAAGGTCTCTTGAGGCCTTCTATTAATTTTGACATTTTTTTTGGAACCTTAGATGAATAAATTTTACTCTTTAGGACCTGTGTGTAATTTTTCCAAAACTATTTGGTAGACATCTATGTCTTAATTTTTAAATAGCATCTATGTCTTTTTCTTCTTGATTAAGTACTTCAATTTTATTGAACGAAATTAAAATATTTAATTATGAAAAATATATATAAGTACTAAATTAAAAATTAAAAAAATATAGATACTTACAAAACGATTTTTCCCATAAATAATACAATTATACATCCTTGCTCTAAACAAGGAATAAAATACAGTTTCATTCTGTTATATACGAGAGACATAGGAAGGTTTAATCAGTATGCCGAGGTATATGAATACCAAAAATATGGTTTGATTTGAAAACATGCATAATATTTTTCTAACTAAGAACCAATAAATTACAATCTTGTTAATTAAAAATAATCCATATCTAAAAGATTATGCGCACGTATATATCTTGGATCCTTTAACATGTGAATAACTATCAACCGTTAAATCTATTAAAAAAAAATATTCAATGTCCCCATCTTCAATAGATTTCTTTAAAACGAAAAACATAATAAACTTATCAAAAATTAATAAACAAAATCAATTACATAAATAAACGTATAGGAATGTATAGATTAAATTAGGAAAATCGGCCTCATTTGTTTCCATAGATATATCTAATTATCAATAATGATTTGTCTACTTATTATCAAATATTGCATCTAAGAATCTCTTTCTTTTTTGTCGCCAGGTATCAAACCTTGAGAAGAACAAACAGAATTGCAGTAATCTTCAAATCGAATAAAAAAGAACTTGCTGTAATCTTACAAAGTACCCCATTTACAACATAAGATCCAAGTGAATAGCCTATTTGAGGCTGAAATTTGCATGCCCTTCGAGCGTAGAAACGATTTAGATGTCATTCACATATCCCACAAGGCAGAAATCTGTTAACAAACCCATATGCTTCCAAAGGCTTCTTCAAGCGCTCTCTTCCTGCTAATTTCCACACTCCATCCTCCAGCCCTCGCACCTCTCTCAGCTCGTAGTCTCATGGCTTCTTCATCATCGCCAGCATAGCCCAGCATGTCACCCCCTCCAAGTGGCACAGGTTGTGGGCCCATGCCGGTGGGCCTTGGCTGTCCGGCAAAGGTGGGTGCGTATTGCCCCTGCGGAACACCAAATCCTGCTTGAGAGGTTTGGTTTGCACCCTGTATCAGAAAGAAGAGTTACTTTTATGCATCCCAAATTCTAGCATAAGAAAGAATATCCTTTTGGCATGCATACATGTCTTCACTGAGCCAAGCAGGCTGGATAATCTCACAACAATAATAATGAGGATCAACAACCAAGGTTTTAAATAAATCATTCATCATGAGACTCCACTTTGTAATTCATGTGTCCTTGATCTTCCTCTAGATCTTTTCATAGGGAAGCAGATTGGACAGTTGTTGATGACAAATTCAATGGTTTAGTAGTTTCTTTTTTATTTGTGAAAACCTATGAAGCACATAAACAGGGAATGATACTCTTACAGGAATATGGCAAGAAACATCCAAGATATAAGGATGTGGCAATAAACCAAGGATTTTGTCATTTGACAATCATCAAAGTTTCGGGTTAATAATAATTGCTCCGTTTTGCATCAATGATTACTCACTTTTATAGCTTTAGAAGAGTCAAATTCTAGCATTCAGTACAAGCTTATAGATCTAATACCCTATTACAAATACTGAATAACCTGTCTCAAATAATCAAGCAAGCTCATTCAAGTTCAACCACAAATCATGACAAAAAGAATTGCAATCAATTATAAGAATGGCAATGAAATGCTCACCCCATCATTATCAGTTTGTGCAGGCTGTCCCTTGCTAGCTGCCAGAGCAGCAGCTAATTCTTCTGCCTGTTTCATATACATTAAGAAATTTAGCGACTGTAAGCACAGAACATACTTAATAAGCAAGGTCGTATCCCAGAGACAGATTCACATAATTATGCAAACCAGAAACATATTAAGGGAGCAGATAGGGTAGGGAATGAAGCAAAGAATAGGCCATTGACAGCAGTACCTTCCGGGCACGATTTATCATTATCTGTTCAGCATTTTCTTCCTGGTATTTGGCAATTTTTGCTTCAATAGCAGCAACATTTATTCCTTCAATCAAGTTAAATGCTGCAATAGTTGAAAAAAACATTAAAATTAAAAATAAAGCACAACTTCATTATGCAATACACCCACTAAAGCAACGATAGAAACTTACTCATGTCCTCTACTTCCTCCAAGTAATCATTGTACTCTCTCAAAGATGGGAAATCATCTTCACGCTTATTAAATCTATAAAATTTAGCAGTTAATTACACGCTTGTCTAAGTCTGCCGGCTATAAGTAGGCATAGGTTGAAATGGTGAAGCAGAAATGGATACTGACAATGAAATCAATATTAATGAACCCATGTACTGCGAACTGAAACGTTACACGAGTACTGAAACAAACCCCCCCAACCAAAAACAAAAAAAACAAAAAAGAAAAAAAAGATAACAATGTTTGTGTTGAAGGCAAATGTGTTAGAAGTACAGTAAAAAACCAAAATTCCTAATATTTTATATCTCCTCAGTTACGAAAGAAGTGTCAATCGATGTTAAGATCCTCCCCAGAAAGCCACAAGCTTCTCCAGTTATGCCAGTTACTCTGGTCCTCTTTGACCACTCATTTAACAGAGTGACAGAATCTTAAACATTTCATGAAGTCATTAAAGCCTTCAGCAGAAAAATAAACCAGCCATTCGTTAATGTGTGAAGTTTTATTATATCTATTAACAATGCTTTACAAGTTTCCCTAAAAAGTAAAATTAAAACTGCTTCACAAGCAAACAGGTATTGAAAGCATTACATAAAATATCAATGAAACCAAGGTTTTCTCTTTAGGATAAAATAAGAATTCAATGTAAGGACTAAGGAAAGAACATTGCATAAGTTGAATACATCAATGCCTACAAAATAGAAAATGCAAGATAGCCACAAAAGGATTTGCTCTGGATTATAAAAAGAGCTCTATTATATAAAAAGAGTATCACAAGCAAGTAGTAAAAGATGTTCACCTAAAAAAAAAAAAAAAAACTAAAAGAATAAGAGAAGAGCAAAAGCTCTCCTATATTTATGCAGATCTGAAAGAAATGCCATGAAAAGAACACAAGCTACCCTATCTCACACTGAATGCAGACTCCACAAGATGCCATTCAAGAAGTTCCTCTCCAATCAATTACACCAAATACCAGAAGACTTAACCCTAACACGAATTTAACCACCTTATTTCCACCAAAGCCCCAAGTTGAATTGTAAATCCTGATCACCTATCCATGCAACTTGTTCCATGACATAAGGCAAAAATCACCGGATAACGACGAATGTGCCACATATTGATAATTAAACCACCTTCATTTCAATGGCTATAAGTCTACATAGCAGACCAAAAAATCTAGTATGGTCTTTCCTAATTTATCTGTCGCCCTTGTCTGGATTCAATGAAAGTGATACTGGAAAAGCATGTCTAAATACGAGTGACATTATTACCAAAAGAAAAGGGACTCCACTCCAACTATCCAACCAGTTAGACAAGCCTTCAGTGAAAAGTTTGAGCTTAATGATTCCGTGATTCTCATTCATTCTTGTTCTTATTCATTAAAGCTGAACGGTTTGAGCGCAAATAGGGGTTGGATTGCTAGGTTGCAACATCCAAATCCCAAAGGACGATTAATACAAAAGTTTCCCCCTCAATAACTGGAATCTTCATAAGTAATTACGCTTCTTGTTTCTGCTTGAAAGAGTTTAGGCCTCCTTTCTTTATAAACATCCAAATCCCAAAGGACAACTAAATTAGCTTGAAATCCATCCCCATAGTTGATCCTTCCCAGCATTAGACTCATGAAAGTGAAATTTAGCCGAGCATTGAGCTCGCCATCCCTGTAATACTCTTCCATCTACTTTAGCAAATCCTCATAAGTTCCAATGGTTTTGTAAGAAAACATTAATGAAGCCGTCAGAACTTTGAGACTTCTGCTGTCCACCCAAAAAGCTGCTCCAGAAATTCACCCACCAATATGGAAAAGGAAAGGAAAGATGAAAAAAAAAAAGACGAAGCAAGAAACCAAAAGAAACAATCTGCCCTCTCATAACCAATTACATAAGCTAAGAAGATGAAAGGGTCTCTAATATTGCAATGCTAGAAAGAGGATAGAACCTCATCACCTTTGAATTCCCTGTGCCTATTGTAACCAATTCAATGTCTAATGTTTCATTAGGAAATCCTAGTTCAAAACCCAGTCAGTCTATCGAGAATTATGATAGCAGAAATGCCCATGTAATCATGTAAATGTAATTCAAAACACTCTCCACGTGATCTTACTCATGGAGGTCATAGCTTCAATAAAGTTTACGTCCCGTTTATAAAACATCAATCAGCTTATCATAGTAATTATACCGGATAATATATGATTAGATTGAATTTTTCCATCATATTCACACAATGTGAAGCAAGCAAGTAAGGAAAAGACTGTAAGAGATTACATGCTAGCAATCCTCCTCCTGATGGCTATCTCCTTATTGTGGGGGTTGATACTAGAGACCACCATTTTGCTTTTGTCAGCTTCCTGTTCTTCCTCTTCCTTTTCTCACCTAAAATTAGGTTTATGCATTTTAGAACAAGCGATATCTAACTAGGAGCCTTCCAAATAAAAGCATAAATCATATAACAACCACGTAAATGTTAATATCATAATCATCAAGCATTGAAGTAAGCAAACAGGTACATATTTACATTTAAAGTGATCTTAGCAAACAGGTAAAGGTTGAGCGATATCTTCTAGAGTCAAGGTCAATCCCAAATATTAAGAGGCACCACAAGTGTACGGGCTGTAAAAAATAGATAGTGGCAAATCAAGGTTGATCCCACTGAAAACTCAGTTAATCAGTAATTAGGCAATAAAAACCCTTTTTTGTTTAAGTTGAGAAGATCAAGATTGAATTTTAATTAAGTGAAATAAAATTTAAATTAAACAAAGCAAGGGTTACCGATTAACAATTGCAAAAGAGAAAAAGAACAACCTAGAGTTACTAATCCATTATTGATCCTTAGATTTTATCCCGCTAAATTAATTATACTTAAACTTAACTAGTTGATCAAGAATATTAGTAGTTAAAAGTTCCTGTCAGTCCAATTATAACTCTACCTCAATTAATTATGTAATCTCTCACACAATTATATAAGGCCAATTTAATCCAATTTCACTCTAATTTGATCATGCGGAGCCTCTAGGTATATGTCTATCCTAAATGCAAATTAGATCAAATTCAATCCCACATTACTTAATCCCACGGTCTATTTAAGACTCCCTTTGTCAAGTGCAATCCTAAATTCCCAAAACAAGCTCAATGGTGGCCAAGCACTGAGCAAGTTAAAACTAAATACAAGATTGGGTAAACTACATTAAAAATTAAGCATAACTAAACAGTGGGAATAATCTCTAAATCACAAACAACTTCATAGTACTCTAGGTTGCAAAACAAAATTAGCTACACATGACTTTAGGCAATTCCAATTCAGCAACAGTAATTCCGAAACAAGATGACATAATGGAATGGAAGAAGAATGTTACCAGTGGAATGAAAAATCTGAATAACGGAATGATGAAAGCGGAATGATTGTAAACTGAATAAGAACCCAAGTCTCCAGCAACGGTCTCTTCCTTCCCTAGCCGCAACCAATATCTCGATCACGTCCTCTGGTAGCTCCGTTCCAGTTCTACGATCCTTCTCTTCCTGCTAGAACCAGTCGGCGTTTCTCCTCAGGTCCAGAGAAGAAGAAGACAACGATAGATGAACCAGATTTAGCCTCCAGCTAAGCTCGTACAAAACCAAGGAAGAAGAGGATGAACAGTCTTGCCGATCTCCTCCGCTGTACCAGTCGATCCGCAGCAGAGAAGAAGATGATCAAGAACAGTCACCTCCCACAGTGTCCTTCTCCTCCGTTCCCGTTCCCGCTCTTTAACGGCAAGCCCACTCCAAATCCCCAGCCGTCTCCGCCTCCCTAAACAGTCGCTCCCGCCTCAAAACCTCCTTCGGTCCCCGTCCAAAACGCTGCGTCCCTGGCTGTGGAATTCAAAACTCCCTCTTCCAAACGGTGCGTCTGATCTCTGGCTCCCAATTCTCCCCTGCTAAAGAAAATGACGTCACCCATGCCAAAGGTCAAAGAAAAAAGATTGATTAAAAATTTTTTTTAAAACAAATCACTCTTGAATTTCAAAAATTTTAAATCAGTAATTATTATTAAAATGTATTATTATTTATTTTTTTTAGTGTAGTCATTTTTTTAAAAAAAATGTAGTGATTGATAATGATTTGAAATTTTAAAATTCAACAGTCATGTTTTTAAGATTTTTTCTTAATAAAAATAAAAGAAAGAAAGAGAATAAAATACTAATAACTTTTATATTTTTCTTTTGCTTCAGAACTACCTTTTATTACTTATTTATATCTTAAACTAAACTATTTCTATTTTGATTTAGAGTTATGATATTCACACTAAAATCCCCCAATTAATGTTCCAAATTAATTTCTCAAATTAACTCTTAGAAATCACTGAAAATTAATTGATAAATGATAACTCTCTAAAATATACTCAAAATATTTTTCAAAAATATTCAAACTGAAAATTTATCAAACAGGCACATAAGGGTGAGCGATATCTTCCAGTTCCAGAGTCAGCAGCTACACATTATTAAAGCCAATCGAAATACACTGCCATTTCAAGAACAGAAAACTACTAATTCGCCTAATGATTTTCTTCTCCGCAACAAGATGGAATCAGGCATCACTGCGCGTCATAGAATTTATTACATCACATTACATGGCTAATTCAAAGTGGTAAGAAACAAAATTTTTTCAATATATTGTAGAAAGAACGTTTCTGGAACACTCATAACTCCGACATACCCACGACGGATGCCACAAAACTTGAAAAACTCTCAAACCTCAAATCAACCAAAGAAATTCTAGATAATGTTTACGAACAGAGTGGAAATTACCTTGAAGGCATATGAGATGGCTATGGTGATAGCGAAGGCTAAGGCTGTTCACTGATGCTCACGATATTCCCGAGAGGTGGTCGACCGTTGCAGTAGTGTGGTCGTCACGGGTGCATTTCTCCCGTGGCCTCCGGTGGTTGCTGCCGGCCTCAGATGGGATGAGGTGGTGGGATTTCGGGAAAGAAGAGGAAAAAAGGCCGCACGATGCCTCAGGGTGTTGGATTCGATACGGTGTGGGTTGTGGATCGGGCTTGTATTTTTCGGGTTGAAAGCGAACGTCAGCAAATCGTCAAATCCTCCCATCATAAAGTGGTTAAGTCGAGTTTGACCAAAAAAACAAAAAATCATTAGATTTAGGAGAAGAAACTAAAATTCAAATCCTTATTGAAAGAGGTATTTACGTTTAGCATTTGACAATATCTCGAGGATAATTGCCTTTAATAAGAGGATAGTGCTTACTAAAAAAAATTAAAGTGCTTGACCTTTGCTTGGCTCAAAAATTAATAATAAAAAATCAGTAATTCACAAAAAAAGTTAGTTAATTTTGATATGTGTCGGGGTGTTTAATAAGTTATAAAATAATTCTAGATAGATTCATAATTTTCACATATATAGGAATGTTAAATTTTGAGCACAGTTCATAATTGACTTTGGCATACATAAGAGTGTTTAAATTTTTTCAAAAAAAAAAAAATCATGATTTTGATTTGACTCTTGTAAATTGTTGGCGAACCATGTTTTCCCTCCCATCTGATACTGGCATTCTCCCACCAACATGCATTGTGCCGCGCAACTAACAGATCTCGTAATGGTGGATAAGTTATTGGAAACAAAAACTTATGCAATGCATATGGGAAGTGTTTGCCAAATGATTAATATTAATTAATGTAATGACTACCGTATTTTTGCACTATTTGAAAACCTGGTAGGCACTTTTAAATTTGAGAAAATTTTATAAAGTTAAGTGGCATAGCAAAATATTTTATAGGTAAATTTATACATTTATCCAAGGTAACTTCAACAACGTTGTCCACCTATTATCATATATGTCCGAATATGTCCTATAATATTTGTTTATATCAGTCGCATACGTAACATAATGTTTATTGGCAAAAAAAAAAAAAAAAGAAAGAACGAAAAAAAGTGATATAACCACTTGCATGTCCAAATGGAACCAATAACAACATTACAAGAAAGATGAAGTTATGATGAAATCCATCACAAATGACCAAAATCATCATTGTCTTGATTTAAATTTTGTACTCCTCCGATCCTTAATATAAAATCTATTTAATTAATTTGATTAGCTTAAGAAAGTTAGGTAAGTTAATTAACTATAATAAATATGACATATTTTTTTTAAAATGCTTTAATCATCTTCATTATATCCTCCTCTCTCTCATACTTGATTATGTTTGATGAAGTATCAATAGGGGTGATTTGGAAATAATTGATAGATATAAAAAATAGATCTTATATTTATGATCAAAATCAATTTAAAATTAGGTCTTATATTAAGGATTGAAGGAGTATCATTTAGTGCCAACCAAATCAAGGACATTTTTAGCAACTCCGTTGCTGGACTCAAGCAGCAATATCCAATAAATGCAAAGAGGGTCAAGGCTTGAATTTGTCTGGAAGCTTTTCACTTAGCAGTGTTGGGTACCATAAAGGTTTTGTTTTTTGTTTTTTCAAATTTGCCTAGAAAGTTTGAAATCATAATAATATAACAATCAACACTAATTTTTTTAACAGTATGATAATATTATTATGATTTTAAACTTTTAAGGTAAATTTGCATCCAAATAAAATTCTCGATGCTTAGTGCTCTTCAGTAAAAACTTTCAGAACAAATTTACACATTAACCTAGCCCATTCAAAATAAATGTGCTAGATCATGAATATTCATATTTTCCTCACCTAATTTTATGTATGAACAATCATCAATAAATTAATATGCATAAAATTGAAATTGTTCATATAATAATAGAACCTTAAAAATATAATACGGACCTATATTAGGACTTATTCTAGAGCTGGGAAAGCAGCTGGCCGGTGCGGGCTGAAGTAGCCCGCACCTTGGCGGGCTGGCATTTGCCAGCCCCAGCCCGCCTAAATTTTTTTTTGAAAATCTATTATATTAGTATGAGTTAGACTTAATTTGAAATGTTGAAATTAGGCTCCAAGTCTTAAACTTGAGTAATGGGTTCTAATAATAAAAAAAGAGAATTAATTTATAATTTTAGAAGATATTTAAGAAAAACTAACATATTTTTTTTATATAAATAATTAATTTAATTAGTTTTCTTATCCAAATTAATTAAGTAAATCTTTTATGTGTCTGTATGTATGACTATATGAGAATCACATGTTCATTTAATCTTATGAAGCCGTGTATAGTAACAACAAATAGATATAAAAATAAAAGATGGACGGTGCTCTTCATATAACCATACTATATATATGAAGTGCTTAATTAATTATATATATAATGATATGAATGAGGTAATGTCCATATGAAATTTGAGGGTCAAAATCCTCTAACTATATCATATAATGTATTAAAAATAAAAAAAAAAAGTTAAAAAAAAAAAAGCGGTGCAAAACGCCAACCAGAGCCCGCCTTTTTTGGCAGGTTGGCGGGTGGGCCTGCCGGCTCTCCTTGATTCAAGAAGTAATGAACTTGCAAATATTTTCAAAACTTTGAACATTTTAGCATGAAACTCACTCTAGCACAGAAAGTACTTTTAAATCAATTATAAATTACAATAGTTCTGGGACCAATATAGTGAAATGTCCATAAGACCAACGAAAAACCGTTGTGGTAGAAAATAGCTTTACACAAGTTTGTCCTTAAAATCAGTGAAAAAAGGCAAAAAAAATTTTAAAAAAAACAATTGTTCACTAATGTTATAATTAACTCAACTTGGTCCATAGATTCATAATAATCAACCAGACCCAAACAACTCTTTGCTTTTTGGACCTATAATGATAGAAAAAGGTTATCAAATAAGATCAACTTCGAAGTAAATGACATGACAGTTTCTCTTAATACTTAGCTATATATATTGCAAACAAAAACCAAATCATTAATTGTTGATATTCTAATATAATACCTCTAGTCTAAATATAAGATTTAGTTGTAATATGTATCTACAAACCATATTTAAGACGGGAGGTAGTATTATATTCTTTTTTTTTTTTTTTTTGGTATGAATGCATTAACCAGAATCTGTTTGGTACGAGGGAGACAGAGCAAAAGGGGAGGAGGAGAAAGAAAAATCAATGATTTGAGTTCTATAAAAATTAGAAAAGTTGTGTGAATTGAAAAGTTTAATTTAGAGCTTGCTCTTTATTTTATATTTTCTTTTTATCAAAATTTTAAAACCTTAATTTTCTAATTTTATAATCGAGCCCGTTAAAACCATTATAAACATACACAAATAGCTGTTACAAAACTTTTTTTTTTAATTTTATCCTTAGGTATGAGTCAATACAAGTGATACATGATCAAACATCGAAATTCAACTTCTTCTCCAAAAATCAAGTTTAATGATTCGTTATTCCTGCGAGACGGAATCATGCATACATAGTTATATAGTCAGCAAATTGTTCAGTTTTTTTTTAACCCTAAAGCCATTACCGAAAAAAAAATCATTGGATACATTGGTATTAAGTTTAGAGGGCTGGGAAAACATTTTTGAAGAGATTAAAAAATTAAACTGAAATTTTATATAAAATTAGAGTATCGAGTGTGCACTTAACCTATAAATATCAGTCCATACAGCTCAGTATAAAAGGAAAAAAAAAGCCAAGTTATATTCAAGTCTATTCAGAATCAAAGGCCAAAAACGTCTTTCACATAATAAGACAAAATCAAAATTATGTATATAAAATCAAGGTAGCTTAAGATCTATTTAAACATAACTTGAGCTTTTTTTAAAAAAACAAAAAAAAAAAAACAGGCACGCAGAATGTAGATATATAATTTCATTCAATCGATTTGAACGTGGAAGACTTTTATTTAACACACACACACACACACAGAGCGGGAAAGCCTGAAAGGGAATCTTTTCCTAGGGCTGTCAAATAAATAGCACAAGACATGTGCTTATGTCCTTGAAAGCCAAGCAAGTTTTCCAATATTTCTTTGAAATTCGAACAATTAATTTAAATTCACGAATACTTTGCTCAAAAAAAAAAAGAAGAAAATTTAACTTCACGAATACGTACACCTCATGCTTTTTGTTTTAATTGACATAAAATTATACCACCACCACCACACCACTACTACTACTACTATTATTATTATTATTTTGCAATGCATATGTAATAGAATTTTTTGACTGAATGATGTATTTATTTGAATACAATTTCAGGTAAGGGAAAGAGGGTATGAGAAAAAATGATAAGAATAAAATATGAAAAAGCATTGAGTCTAATGCAAGTGGCATTGCTCATTTGGCTTGGGAATGATTTGCATTGTTCATAATTTTTGATTAGTACCTTATACTATCTCCGGTCCTAATTATAGGACCGGAGGTAATATGAAATTATATAAATTTGTATTAGAGATTTATATAGTCCACATATCTAATTAAAACAAAATACTTTGAACTCGTCTATATCCTTGTTTTTCTTAATGATCTTGAGTCATTTAAATGCAATTTTTAGTGAAACTTAAAAATTCTCTCATGATTAACAATTTTATCCTTATATATAATTTTCCCGTTAGTAGAGGCCAACCCCAATGTCTAAAAAGGAAGATTTGACCATTTCCTTTTCACGCGGTGCACACACAATTTATTTGGTCAGTCTATGAAATTAAAAGAGCCCGCTTCCTAGCACATTACAAATCGTGGTTTGGGTGTTTGTAATGGTTTTTTTAAACAAATTTGTAATTTTATTCATGCAACATGATTTTGAATGTGGTGTAAACTCTAAATTTAGTATCAAAGTTATTATGATCATAAATTCATATTTCAAAAAGATATTTTCAGAAAAATGTATGTTTGAGAAGATATTGTAATACCACTCCCCTCGATTCTTATAAGAACTAATAAAGTGATTTGTAT